AACCAGACATTTCACAATGGCTCAGGGGGAAAGGCAGTTCCTCGGGTGAGATGAGGCTGCTGCGTGATAGGAGCCGAGATCTAGAATGCTAGCAGTATTTGCAAGCTCCTCTAAGTGAAAAAGGTCGTTTTGACGTCCTACGCGCGCAAAACACCCATACCGAGAGACCGGGTGAACTGTGCATTGAAGACTTGAATCCTAGTTTTACATTGTCTCGTTGCTGCGTCTTACGAGCGAGTCTTATTATGCGTCATGAAGTGCTTGATCTTCTCGTACTGGCAGATCGCCGTCTTGAACGACCGATATATAGTTTCCTTGACATCGTGTTGGTACTCGGGTCGTTCACCAAAGAAGACTTTGGCTGCGCCTAAGTATGACACTTCATTGGCAGCCTTGCGGTACGCGCAGCTAGACTCCAGCATCGAGAACGCGAACCCATGTGCTAGTGTAGGATAGCGTGTACAGTCCATCTCGTCAACAACGCGTATCGATGGCGCGTAATACATGGGATGCATGGCGAGCCTGGGAAGGAGCCCAGACGCAAAAGAACTGCTGTTGGGCTGCACTGTTTGCACGAGATAGCCACCATTTCGCTTGCGTCGTAGCTGTGGAGGTACACCTCCATGGGGATCACGCGGACAGCACCTGTCGCGGAGCATGGGCATGGAAGGCATCGCCTCACTGGTCGATGCATCATGTTGTCGTTGCGGTCCACCACATTGTGTGCAAGCGGGGCGTGGCTGATGGCGTGGTCATGGCAAAAGATGGCGCAAGCCGAGAACATGTTGCACGTATTGCAGGCGTGGGTTGCATGGCTCGAGCACAAGCTGCACACCGCATCTGGTCTTTCCAATGGCGTCGCCCAATATGCGACGTGCTTCAAGTGGTCAAAGAACTGGCCACTCCAGGCTATCTCAGCGGCGCGTCGCGCGTTCAAATTCTGCTGGTCCTTTTGGTCTTGCCGTAGCTCCACGGACGGCTTAGTCCGGTCGTTGACGTGCCGTCCCGCTTGTAGGACGTACACGTCGTTATCGTCCCCACCAGAGTCGTACGCGGCGTCCCCGTGAGCGCTCGGAACGACGTTGGACGCAGGCTCGGGCTGGCCCGCCTTTTGGACACTTGGGGTGTTGTGCGCTGCGATCCCATTGGCGATCGGAGCAACAGGAAAGATAGGTCCGTGTTTGAGCTCGTGCGCCCTTAGCTGCTCCGCGTATGTTGGGATGTCCTTGCACTTCTTGCCCTTCTTCCTCGCGAAGAGCGTGAGCATCGTCAAATGGGTTTCGTGATTGGTTTCATTTTCGACAGTTTCGCGTCCCTGGTGGGATTAGTTTTTATGATTGAGAATCAAACAGTCTCCGAAACAATCTCAATCAATTATTCTCCTGGCTCAAGAGGTTAGTTTTCTTCGCGAGATTAATATAAGTTGATGGCGCGGAATATACGCATCTAGTACTGTACAATTCGGTCCACGGTACTGGACGGCGTAGTTTGAGAAGCGAGTTGGTGATGATCCAGCCTCGTATCCCAAAACACTCATTTGCCCTCAACCCAGCCTAGGATGGTACCGTTCCTCGCGAGCTCGCTCTCTTGAATGACGTTGCATGCTATAAACCGATAAGAATTTATTTGCACAAGTCGTCCAAACTGGTCCAAGATGCTGACTCCTGACGGTGCGACGTGTAACGGTTTGGCGCTGTCACAGAGCGCCACGTCATCGGGTAACTCCTCCTCCCACAACACAAATGTGCCATCTTGGCAAACAAAGCACTTTACTTGGCCTGTATTAT